TCTTTTGCAGGCAATATTTAAACAAACCAAAAGCTATTTTTAACTTCTCAATTAACTACTATAAAAAGTTTTGACACATTAATTGCAAAAACACTAAAAGTCAACACTCTAAACCCAATAATCAGTTCTAATCATGGCTGATAGTCAGCCTCCCCAACCCACAACACCTCAGCAACAAAATACCTCACCCAACCCAACCAACACTGCTACTCTGTCACAGGGCGGGCAGTATGTTGTTTGTGGAGTGTCACAAGCTGTGGAGGTTTTATCAAAGCCAACTAAATCAAGTTACTTCCAATGGGCAGAAACGTTGGATATTGATGATTTGAATCACCACTTAGAACAAATTGCAGAGGAGGTTGAGAAAAAAGAAACCAAGAGCTAACAATGAACGTTTAGCTAAAATGGCATGCTTACTTAGAGTGAGACTGGGTTGCGAAACTACGGTCGTGCGACATCTTCAAAAACAGCTACTAACTGAAAGAGCAGCCGAGGAGACAAAATCAGATGAAAGCCACGTCGTAACCACTGACTCTGAGGAAATCAAACATTTACGCAAGGAGAACTTAAAACTCCGGCAGCGAGTTTTAAATGAAATAAAAGAAAAAGAGACCCTTAAATCTGATTTCGATGTAGTTGCAAGTGCACTCAATCAAACCAATATTGGCCTTGAAGACCAAAAACAAATTATCTCCTTAAAACAACTGGACTTACATGTGATCCAGAATGAACTTCAACAAGAAAAATATAAAAATAAACAGACGAGAAATTTTCAGACAGGAGCGAGAAGCTCATGCAGGATTTCGTAAAACTTATCAGGAGCACACAGAAGCATTGGAGCGCAACATACCACTGTTGAGTGGCCAGCAGGCACAGACAGGTGGGCTCCAAGCTGCTAGCACATCACTTACATTCCCACCTCCACCCCCACAAATCAATGACACCGGACCAGAGAATCTGGGAGACCCACCGGGGGACCCACCTCTACCCCCACCTCCAAACCCATTGTTCGAGGATCGAACAGGTCAACCACATCAGGGTAGACAAGGAGAGTCCGGACAGGAGGGGAGATCAACTTACCATCGTCCTCCCTCTGACCGTGAACTCGACAAAATCTCAAAAAACATCAAACCTTTCGATCCAAGTCCAACAGGCTCATATGACACAAGAGCCTACTTTCGGGACGTGGATTTCTACCTTGAGAGTTACCCAAACGCTAATATAGAGAACAAACGTTACCTTCTCAGGCTAACATCAAGCAGAAAGGTAAACAGTTTCATTGATCGCCAACCAGAGGAAATAAAAAATAACTACACACTTCTTTGTGAAAGCTTAGAAAGAGAGTACACTCCCAACACGGGACCCCCTGGCTATCCATCCGCCGAACCCATAAAACAAGGCTGAAATGATCATCCTAATGAGTACTATTATAAGCTTTTGCAAGCTTATTTTGGTAACAGAAACGAACCATTTATGGACGAGGATCCAGGCTTTAAATTTCTTTTCATACAGAACCTTCACAAAGACACAAATGCTCAACTAAGCATACTCGCAGACTGGCGAGTAAATAAGATTCAACAACTAAGAGACTGGGCGATCGCAGCGTTTGAAAAACTGAAAATACAAAAGACACAATCAAAAATCTACATGAACAATGCCAAATCCTCTCATTTAGAGCTGGAGGGAGCTCGAGCAGAGTCTCCACCTCCTAAACAAGGTAAAAAGAAACAAAATTTTCAACCTATCAAAACACAAAATAAAGGTGCCAACGGGAAACCAAGGAGGGGCAATCAAAACCAAAAAAGCGGCCACAGACCTCAACAGTGGGGCCCAGGTCCTAAAACAAAACCTACTAACGGGTACCAAGGTTACCCCAACAATCGTGAATAGCCTCAAAACTCTTACAGTTGGATGTACGGCTGTGAAATGAGACGGTCTAGTCTATGGATGGTGTGTGTTTGCGTGACCACATGCTGCCCCCTTACCATAGTGATATGTTTTATATCGCATGCCTTCAGTTGTTTGTTTTTTTTCATGGTATAACTTCACAAAATTCAGTAGTATTAAAACAACGTTACATTTAACTAAAAAAACAAGAATATTTTGGGTTTAACTCCAGTATCTTTTTGGCCTGTGGGGCTCCTGAAGCAGCCGATAGGTATCGGCAGTCCAAGCGGATTGCGGCTCAGGTGGTTGCTGAGGCAAAAACCCAGTCATGGGAGGAGTTCGGAGAAGCCATGGAAAAAGACTTCCACATGGCTTCAAGGTGTTTCTGGTCCACCATCAGGCGTCTTGCGGGGGGGGGGACTGGTTCGCCACCAACACCGTTTATGGTGGGGATGGTGCGCTGCTGACCTCAACTTGGGATGTTGTGGGTCAGTGAACAGAATACTTTAAAGACCTCAATACCACTGACACGTCTTCCCATGAGGAAGCAGGTCCTGAGGACCCTGGGTCGGACTCTCCGATCTCTGGTGCCGAGGTCACTGAGGTGGTTAAAAAGCTCCTTGGAGGCAGGGCGCCAGGGGTGGATGAGAGTTGCCCAGAGTTCCTTAAGGCTCTGGATTATGTGGGGTTGAGTTGGTTGACGCATCTCTCCAAAATTGCGTGGACATCGGGAGCAGTTCCCCTGGATTGGCAGACCGGGGTGGTGGTCCCTCTATTTAAAAAGGGGGGACTGCAGAGTTTATTCCAACTATAGGGGGATCACACTTCTAAGCCTCCCTGGTAAGGTCTATTCAAGAGTCCTGGAGAGGAGGGTCCATCAGATAGTCGAATCTCGGTTTCAGGAAGAGCAGTGTGGTTTTCGTCCTGGTCGTGGAACACTKGACCAGCTCTACACCCTCAGCAGGGTCCTGGAGGGAGCATGGGAGTTCGCCCAACCAGTCTACATGTGTTTTGTGGACTTGGAGAAAGTGTTCAACCATGTCCCTCGGGGACTCCTGTGGGGGTACTCTGGGAGTATGGGGTACCAGGCCTGTTGATACGGGCTGTTAGGTCCGTGTACGACTGGTGGCAGAGCTTGGTCTGCATTGCCGGTAGTAAGTTGAACTCGTTTCCGGTGAGAGTTGGTCTCCGCCAAGGTTGCTCTTTGTCACTGATTCTGTTCATAACTTTTATGGACAGAATTTTTAGGTGCAGCCAAGGTGTTGAGGGGATCCATTTTGGTGACCTTAGGATCGCATCTCTGCTTTTTGCAGATGATATGGTCCTATTGGCTTCATCAGATTGTGATCTCCAGCTCTCACTGGAGTGGTTCGCAGCCGAGTGTGAAGCAGCCAGGATGAGGATCAGTGCCTCCAAATCTGAGACCATGGTCTTGAGCCGGAAAAGGGTAGGGTGCCTTCTCTGGGTTGGGGAGGAGGTCCTGCCCCAAGTGGAGGAGTTTAAGTATCTCGAGGTCTTGTTCACGAATGAGGGAAAAATGGAGCGGGAGATCGACGGGTGGATTGGTGCTGCGTCTGCAGTGATGCGGGCGCTGTACCGGTCTGTCGTGGTGAAGCGAGAGCTGAGCCAGAAGGCGAAGCTCTCGATTTTTTGAAGGTGAAACTCTCGGTGTGCTGGTCAGTCTACGTTCCTACCCTCGTCTATGGTCACGAGCTTTAGGTAGTGACCGAAAGTACAAGATCGCTGATACAAGTGGCCGAAATGAGTTTCCTCTGCAGGGTGTCTGGGCTCTCCCTTAGAGACAGGGTGAGGAGCTCAGTCATCTGGGAGGGACTCAGAGTAGAGCCGCTGCTCCTCCACGTCGAGAAGAGCCAGTTGAGGTGGCTCTGGTATCTGGTTAGGATGCCTTCTGGACCCCTGTGCATGTCCCACTGGGAGGAGGTCCAGAGGAAGACCCAGGACACGCTGGAGGGACTATTGTTTCTCGGCTGGCCTGGGAACACCTTGGGTCTCTCTGCTTAGGCTGCTGCCCCCGCGACCTGACCCCGGATAAGCAGAAGAGAACGGACGGACGGACGGAACTCCACTATCAGTACTTGTAGTTGCATTTTAAATAAAGTCTCAATGCACCAAAAAATTCATCAGCTAAGTTGTCAAACTTACATTTAAAAAATAAATTATTTGGTTCATGAAAAATTTCCTAATTTYGCTGTAAGAAAAAAAAAACACTAATTTTTATTTTGTTAGTTTACCATTATTTAACCAGGCAAATACCATTGAGATCACAGGTCTCTTTTTCAAGGGAGGCCTGGGTCTAAAATCAACCTATTATACAGGATTTTGGGGCGTGGGGGAAACTGGAGTGCCTGGAGAAAACCTACAAAAGCATGAGGAGAACATGCAAAGTCCATACAGAAAAACCCCAGGTCTGAGCAGGAGATCAAACCCAGGACTTTCTTAATGTGAGGTGACAGTGCTAATCACTGAGTTGCACTGAGAATTCTTCTAAAGCATCAAAATAAAAAAGACCTGATTATATTATCGTTGAAAAACTAGCCTTACTTATGAATATATTTTTAAATGGACTAAATGTTTTTGTGTTTCCTGCCTGAGGTTGGTGTACAGAACAATATGTGTGATGTTTTTTCATTGTCTGAAGACCCGGACACTTTGATAATGAACCTTTACCACTTCTTCCATTCTTAGATTTTCAGGTGATGGTACTGGGGGTCTACATTGTTATTCACCTGGCTCTCTGCCTGGTACCACTGACATTTACCTGTCCCTGCATTATGGACCGCAAAATGCTTAAACCAGCACCGAGCATCATTGGTCAACGTGGAGCTCCCATGGTGAGTTGGAACAGTTTCATTCAGTATTATTGCTTCATTAGGAGACAAAAACAGCAGAGCTGCAGTAACCTTAAGTTCATTTCTGTGGTTTGGTAATCCTCAGGCTGCAAGTTGTAGCTGAGGTTGTGTCAGTAAGGATTCATCCAATGTAAAACATGTTGAATGTTTATTTTGCTCACTGTGGTAACTCTGAGGAAGGGAAGGGAGTAGCCAAAAACAACATAGAGAAAAACAGTCACACATGTACAATAAACCAATATCAGAATCTGTCAGCTGGTCATTTCTTGAAGCTACTCCTCATACATGTGTCCTTAAACATGCTATACATTATTATAGATGTAATAATTACTGTAAAATGACCATTATATGTTGAATAACCTACATTGTTGTTGTCTAATCAAAATCACATTGACACTGTTTTATTTCAATCAATAATTAGATCATTATTTAATAACCAATGGTTCACTTCCTCCATATGGGCAGACAAGATATCTGTCGCCTTCTCCAGTGTCTTACCGGGTGCATTAAATACTGCATCATCCACATAAAGCTGACAACTTACACCCTTCATATGACAGGTAGCTCATTTATAAAATGAATGAAAAACAGTGGTCCTCATATAGAACCCTATGGAGGTTTGATGTTTATACAGGAAGATTTATCTTAGCCACTTTAACACATTGCTGCATGGAAGAGCTGATTGGCTTGCAAATGATCAGTCAGATGTGTCACAACTCTTTTTGATCACTTTTAATAATATAGGTAATTTTGATATAGGTTGATAATTATTCATAGAGTCCTGTCTCTCCTCATTATGTATAGGTACAACAACTGCTTTTTACCACCCCAAAGAAGATATGGAGATACTAGAAAAAAAACTAAATGTGTTTAAATGGGTTTAATTAGAGTATTTTAATATTTCTTTAAAAAGCCGCAATTAACATTATAGGCGTTATTTGTAATCATTTGTGCAATATTACTTTCTTCAATCTTTCTAATATTAAAGTAATCTTGTGACACTTCTGCATTATAGTGATTATCAACCTGAGTAGAAATATACGGTAAAACTGAATTAACTCTTCCACTGAAATATGTATGTATAAAGTAGGAGTTTAAACAATATGCCATGATTATACTTCTAGTGATAGTTGTACCATATATAGAGTTCTTTTGTACTTTTATTTGACTCTTTACATCAGTTAAATTGTTTAAGCATTTCCTAAGTTATGTTATCACACTTTGCCCTTTCTAAAGGTTGAATATAATACAGTGGTTTGCAAAAGTATTCATACCCCTTGAACTTTTCCACATTTTGTCACATTACAACCACAAACATAAATAT